TATTTATGACCCACCCAAGTTGGGTGGTGTGCTGCTTTGCTGCTTCGAATTGTAGTCAGACCGCTTTGTCAAATATCGTACTGGTCTCGTCATCGTCCAGTAACAATCGACATTCTTTGTTCCGTTGGGACTGTAGCTTTTGCTCGTTTTCGTTGCGCTTGCCTTCCCCTCTTTGGTCTTTTCCATAACCTTGAACCTTCCAAGTTGGAAGGCTGTCGGTTAGCGCTACGGAGATGTGTTAAAGTTAGGTGTCAGGACGTCGAATGTCTCAGTACTCTGTCAGTTTTGTGCCTAGTTATTGCACTTTCTGACTGTATATAGTATCATGTTACAGTGATGGAGAGTTACTCTAAACTCGTATCCATATGTCCTTTTCTATTTTACAATAATAATAATAATAATAATAATAATAATAATAATAACCCCGTTGGGGACAGTTTAGCTTTTTGGAGCTCTGGTTGCTGACCGCCCTTGGGCTTGCAACTCGCTTCAATATTCTTTCAATTTTAGCCTTTTTCTCTCGGTCTCTCTCTCTCTCTCTCACTCTCTCTCTCTCTCTTCATTGTGTAATCCGTATTGTCTTTCCTAGTTCCCAAGTCTGTGTCCTAAGCGTATGCCACCTCGTCGAAAATGGAGCGGTATTGATAACCGAGAAGCCCTGGAGTGCCACTTCAAAGCCATCTGGCCAGATAAGCTCGGATACAGGAAACGGCAGCTTGCTAATTGGACAGAGCGGCGACCAAACGATGCTATAACCGAGCAGTGTCTTGCTGGCCAGATATCCCTTATCAGCCGAAAGTATCTCTCTCTGGTCGAACAAGAAGCCATTGCTCAGCAGCTCGTGGAGCGAGGGGAGCTTCCTAGCGCGTTTCTACAACGTTACCACGCAACGAATCACCAGGGAGAACCGGAGCCCTGCGGGTCCAGCGCTGCTGGCGCTACTGGCACTACGCGCACTGATGACGCCCAGGCGGATCCTCGAGCCGCTGACACTGGTACTGGTGCTGGTGCTGGTGCTGGTGGTGCTGTCAATGATGCACATGTGCCTCCATCCAACTTGGACGGTGAGTCAACTGTCATTGGATCAACGTGTGAACACGTTTCTGCCTTGCATGCTGATGCACTTGGCGCTGCGGACGGTGGATCTGGTGGTGCGTCGTGCACTGCGGAGAGCACTTGCACAAACTGCAGAGCACAGACTAATCGTAGCTTATCTGCTTGCCTAGCTAATGCATGTAGTGCTGGTATTATTGACTCTAATGACAAACAGCTCGTGTGGGCGGTCAAGCATATCTGTGTATGTATCAAGGCTGCTGGGGTGGAAGACACTGGTAGGGTCCTTGGTGGGCTGGTAGCCAGTGTACAGCGTTTGGGTGTCGATGAGAGGCCAAAGCTTGCAGTCCCCAGGAAAATCCCATACCTCCGTCTTTCAGCTACTGTCGCAAAAATCAACTGTGGCATCCGTCAGCTGGTTGCTGCTAGTGAGTTTGACCTGTCCATAGAGTTCTTGAATCATGTTGCGTATGCTGCTGCTGTTCTCACCCTACTGGTTTGTGGTATCCCGCCGGTTCCGGCAGCGCGCATGAGTTCGCCGCAGCCGGAGGTTCCGGGTTGGCAACGCCGGTTACAGCGAAAGGTTGACGCCCTTCGGAAGGATGTCTCTAGACTGACAAGCTACCTGGCATCTGACAACCCGCAAATGTACGAGCGCTACCCTGTGGGAACTCGGCACGCTGCTGCTTCACTTCTAGGAACAAAGAAATTGGAACTTCTGGCCCTTGCGGGTCGAATGCGCAGATACAAAGCTGATATGAAACGAAAGCAGGAGAATCAGTTATTTCGCTACAATGAACGTCAATTCTATCGTAACCTGTGTGCCAAGAAGGATAGTGACCCCGAGAACCGTCCATGTATGTATCAATTGGAGCAGTTCTGGAGAGACATTTGGTCTCACCCTTACCCTGTGCGTCGTCAGGCCTGGATCCAGCGTGAAGGCACGTACGCAGAGGCCATCCATGCCCAGGAATCTGCTGTCATTACTGCTGACCTTATGTCTGCTGCGACCTCCAAGATGCCACACTTGCGTGCTCCTGGTTGTGACCAGATCCCGCCATTCTGGATTAAAAAATTTACTGCTCTCCATCCAGCTCTACTTCGAAATTTCCAGCTGCTTCTGGATGGTGAGCTGGATGCCCCAGCATGGTTTTCACTGGGCCAGACGATCATGATCCCAAAGAAAGGAGACCTAACCCAGCCGCAGAATTGGCGACCAATCACCTGTCTGCCAGCCATGTACAAGCTATTCACCTCCGTGATTGGTGAGTTGATGTGGATCCATATCCAGACCAATGACATTCTGGCCCATGAACAAACTGGCTGTACTCGTAACCGAGGAGGCTGCACTGACCAGCTGCTGATCAATGCTATGATTACCCAGGATGCTAGGCGTCATCACCGCACCTTGGCAATGGCTTGGTTGGATTTTAGGAAAGCGTTCGACAGCCTATCGCAGGAGTGGATAGTCGAAGTCACACGTCTGTACAAATTCCACCCCAAGATCACTTCGCTCTTGTCTGTGCTCTCATCGCAGTGGCGTACCCGGCTGCGCTTGGGAGCTGACATGAGTGAGGCAATACCGATCCGGCGAGGCATTTTCCAAGGTGACTCGTTATCCCCTCTGCTCTTCTGTCTTGGATTGAATCCAATATCAGGTGAACTCAGCAGAAGTGGCTTTGGATATGCGTGCGGACTTCAGCGGACAACAACCGTATCCCACTTATGGTACATGGATGATGTGAAGCTGATGGCCGCAACCATTAAGCAGCTTAACTCAATGATCAACATAGTATCGTGCGTTGGGAAATCCATTGGAATGGAGCTTTCTCCAGCAAAGTGTGCTAAGCTTGTGTGCCCACATGGTGCTGTTGATCCAGATCAGCCAGCAACTGTCACAGTAGATCAAGCCTCCAGCATTGCCTCCTTGGCGGACGGCTCCGTGTATGCCTACCTAGGCATAAGGGAGTGTTTTGGCATGGCGGAACAGTCTGTTAAGGTGGCCACCACCAAAGAGTTCAGGAGGCGATTGCGGCTGGTGACCCACACATCTCTCAACGCCTGCAACCTCTCTCGTGCTATTAACTCTTATGTCATCCCAGTGCTGTCGTATGGCTTGTGTATTGTGCCATGGACGAAGGATGCTATTGCAACCTTCGACAGGAATGTCCGAAGTGCGCTCCGCGCAGTGGGAGCACACCGCCCACGATCTTCCACCATCCGCTTTCACCTGCCGAGATCTGAGGGCGGCCGAGGGATTGTATCGGTTGAGCACCTGCTGGAGAGGAAATACATCCGCCTGTCTAGGTATCTTCAGGCGCACTCTGACCTGCCGCTGATTGCTGCGCTGCATGCTCATCATGAAAATCTTCCGCCTACAAAGTCGATCATCTCCCGGGCGGCCACGGCAATGGAGCACTTCAACATCCTGGACATCGGAGGTGCAACAACTGACGTTGTTAAGTCTGCTATCAGAACCTCCACCCAAGCTTCTCTGCGGCAGAAGCCCCTGCATGGTCGCTATTGGCAGAGGAGTGGCGGTGTATTGGACATGCCTCTCTCATTCAACTTCTTAAAGTCTCCAACATTGCGTCCATCCACTGAGTCATCCGTATTTGCTGCTCAGGATCAGGTGGTTAATACCAGGAACCACCAAAGATCGGTTATTGGCGACACTTCCGTGGTGGACGTGTGCCGTTTGTGTGGAGGTCCGGGAGAGACTGTTGACGATATTCTGGCATGCTGCCCCGTGTTGGCACGGACGGCATACATTACTCGCCATAATCGTCTTGCCGCTATAGTCCACCGGGCACTCTGTCATCGCTACAGACTGGTATCTTCTGCTCCCCCTGGCCACTTGCCACACTACGTCGAGGATAGTGAAGGCCGTAAGTTAATGTGGGAAATGCCAATCCCTACAGATAGGATGGTTGGAGCAAATCGGCCGGATCTTGTGTGGGACGATGGCAAGTCAGTCCAACTTATTGATGTCAGTGTGCCACTAGATCATAGAGTAACACTAAAACATGCTGAAAAAAGAGCGAAGTACTTGCCCCTCGCAGTGGAAATTGGGCAGATTTGGCAGCGAGAGGCAGTGTCCGTAGTGCCCATCATAGTTGGTGCTCTTGGTGGCCTGACGAAGGAAGCGGCTACCTCAATTAAGCAGCTATGTGGAGAAGAGCGGCACCTTCATGAACTGCAGCAGGCTGCTATCCTTGGCTCGATGGCCATTCTAAGATCTGTTTTGGGTGCAGCATAGGGCTCTTCGCTGTCCCTGGTGGGCTTTTTATGCTCTGTTTGTTATTGTATTCGTTTTAGTTTGTAATTGAAACACTGTGGTATTTCTGTGGGTATTCGTATTTGATCTTTCTGTGGGTGCGCATTGGAGGTTGTGCCCAGTGATGAGCTTTGCCGGCCTGAATTTTTCGCCAACTTCTGATGCTCCCCTTTCTGCAATACCTGTTGCCATGATACCTCTGAGCTTTAATGCCTGTGATGGTACATGCGCCTTTCTCCCTTCCTCTCTCTCTACCTTACTTTTTCCATATATTATTCCGTGCTGCTTAACTTTGGCTATGATAAGTCCGGTGAGTTAGTGTAATACCTCCAATTTTTATTTTTATTTTCAATTTGGAGTGGAATAAAGACTCATAATAGGTCAGACTCGGATGTAAAGGCAAGGATTAAAATAGAGAGGACACAAGGTTTACAAGTTATGCGTTTTGTGCCAAACACTAACGACAAGTTTACATAAACCAGAGTGTGCAACTCAGGGTGGTTCCTGTGGGAGCGTAATTCGTGCAGTACGTCATTTCTGACCTCATGGTAAGCCACAGGTACAGTGAAAAGTTGCATAAACAGTCACAGTGGTGCAGGTTGCCGAGTTTTTTAGGCACATGCTATAATTTTATCGTACTGCTTTTAAAAGTTCAAGACATCTCACTTACTGACACAGAGGATTTGGGCTCGGTGATTGCTTGTGGTGTTCACAAACCTCTGTTTTCCCTCGCTAAACGTTACGGTTCTGAAAAGGGAGTTGCCGTTCACCACGATTGGTTTGACGTGGTAAGATGCTTGCCGAATAGCCAATCTCTCTAGGAAGCTCTCTCTTAAAACATGGCCATGTGCTTGCAGCCAGGCCCCGGTTATGAGGTGAAGTCCGTACTGCTCACATGCCTCCTCTGCGAATTGCTCAGTGACGTTGGGCCTCAGCGCTGGCGTTGCTGTGGTGTATACTGAGGAGTTGGCGTGAAGCCACTTGGCTGCAAAACAAGGGCACATACAGTAGGCAATAGGGAATACAGTCGTCCCTCTCTAATCCGGTACTTGTTTATCCAGCACCCTTGCAAACCAGCACACTTTCTGGCAAAACGGATTCTTTCAGTTCTTTTTCTACCCTTTAATCCGGCACTTGAATTCCGCCTCCAGCAGCGATTTTCTGCAACAAATCACTCAAACTGAACATAATTTGATTTTCTAATCCAGCAGTTGTACATCGCATACTGTCAGGGACCATTGTAACATACACAACACATGTAACATACATTTGGGAATAAATATCCTATGCTAGTACATAAGATATTCCCAAGTGTATGTTATAGACATGCATTCCATGATTCCACAAAGTACTTGGTTTGACACAGAAGATCCCTATGTTTTGATATACGACACAAACATGTATGGTAACATGTGGGCCGGGTGGTAGGGCAGGATTTGATAATCCACTCGCGGCACCCTTGTTTATCCAGCAGAAAATTCCATTGCAAAAGGTGCCGGATTAGAGAGGAACGACTGTATGTATAACAAATGCAATGACAACAGTGAGCATTCCCAGATGGCTTAGAGTACTCAACACCACCAGGATGGAGCGATCCAACAAAGGACTGCCTTAGCTCCACTTTGTGCATGAAACGAAGCATTACAACAATTATTTAACCGATTCTCTCTGGTCTCTTCTGCCTTTTTGACAAAAGTCACGAAATAAATCTAAATAACGGGTGCCCACAATCTAGTCATGCTCAATAAAACCCGGTCTAACGGAAAGGTCAATGCTACCATTTCACCCCTATTCTGAGACAGGTTCAGGTGTCGGCCTATATTTGCAGGCATGGGGCTGGGTGGACTTCATTGAGCAGCACCGTGCCATAGTTGGGAATCACCCAGAGGTTATACCAAGAGTACATAACCCCCCAGAGCGTGCAACTTCCACATACCCTGCTCTCCCGACAGACTTTCAAGTTGACGTCATTAATTATGGGGCTGGGGAGACTTCATTGAGCAGAACCATGCCATAGTTGCGGATTATTCGGTGGTCAAACGAAGGGAGTAGTATGATGCCGGGTTACATAAGCATATGACAGAAGTGTTTTGATTGCTTCCGTGTGTGTGGGTCTGAATCTGGCTATACCGATCAGTTTCCAATTGAACTCAGAAACTTCGGTTGTAAAAATCTTGCCGTGCCTACCCTATCCATTCGTCCCTGGCTACTCAACATTTTTCTCTCACTCGTTCATATGATCACAATGCAACAGCCTACCTTCGCAGATGACATCATGATGGCTTGCTCCGTTACTATCAAGTAACTCTTCTCTTAACTGGTTCTTGCGCTGCTGGTACATGATATTTTGGTCATCCTCCTCGAGCGATGCCGATATTGAGACAGAGTTGCTGTCACCGCTCGCCATCATCTTGACATCAAGATGGCTTGCTCCACTACCATCATCATGTAACTCTTCTCTCAACTTGTTCTTAACTTGTCCTTGCCCTGACGATAGGGAGATAGGGTTGCTGTCACCGCTCGCCATCATCTTGACATCAAGATGGCTTGCTCCACTACCATCATCATGTAACTCTTCTCTCAACTTGTTCTTAACTTGTCCTTGGCCTGACGATAGGGAGATAGGGTTGCTGTCACCGCTCGCCATCATCTCAAAATCAAGATGGCTTGCTCCACTACTATCATGTAACTCTTCTCTTAAGTTGTTCTTGCCCTCCTTGTAAATGACATGCTTGCCATCCCTCAAGAAAGATGTCCATATTGTGATAGGGTTGTTGAAATTGCTTGCCATCATCTTGTTGAGCAATGCTTCCATGCAGTCCCGCACGCCCAGAGACAGGGTTGTGAAGGCATTATAGTCTACCACGTCGTATCCTCTTCTCTTGCACATCTGTCGGGCATGCGTCAAGTTCGTCTTCTTCTGGCAGCTGTCACCGTCGAGGTGTGGATGACACGGCAAGCCAGCGAGAGCCATCCAGGTGTACATTGCCTTATCTGTACCCAGGCACTTTGTCTTGAAACCTTAACATAACACAGTGCACATGCAAGACACGGTCAGGTGAAGTAGAACACAACTGGACCACAGCCTAACAAGACGTACACTTGCTCAGTAGGGATACCGCAGTCCATTTCAGAATTTGTTTACTAAAATGATCCCAAATATCATCGGATCATCACAGCTATACAGTAAAACCTGGTGTAAGCGACCTCTGGGTTTAGCGACCACCTGCTCTTAACACGGACCATTTTTTCCATGGACTGACAGTTCTACACAGACACTGTGGGACCTGGTTATAAAGACCACCTGGCTTTAACGACCGCTTTTGCTTGCACCTTGGAGTGGTCGCTGAAACCAAGTTTTACGGTAGTTCTGGTGATGGGAGTCATTTTTTTATCAGACTTTTCCGCCCTCAACTTTCCTCAAACTTCCGAACAAAACACCTACGTCAGGCGCTATTTGCTTTGTTCCTTGCCCTAAACTGTTACAGTACATGTCGGTTATAGTGCGGTCGTGTACAAGAATATGCTGCCTACAAGAATGAACTCTAATATCTTCATAATCGAACTCGCATTGGTTCGTAATGCTGCAAGTGCACCTGACGTGGCCAGGTATCTTGTTGCAGAGCCACATGGACAGACCTATGGGACTATGAACAGCCGCACGTACAAACGCACTACGAATGCATGTCCAATGATCTTCCCCGCCTGCAGGTCCATGGAGATAGCTGTCCTGTTGTATGGTGCCCGTGGGCCTTGTAAACTCGGACACTGGCGTGTACATATTGCGGACGGAGAATGCCACAAATGTAAAGACCCACCAAGCGCAGCTCACAGCCAACAGCAGCCGCGCTTTCGACTACAGTAAATCGCCCAATATTCGCGTCACTAAATTTTCGCGATTTCTTAGAACCAACAAGTTTGCGAAGGCAAAAGGTCGCGAAGCACAGTGGACACCTACATACACCCACTGTTGAAGCTTGATTTCACGATGGTTAATATTTGCGTCATTTTCCAGTATTCCAGAAACATGAACAAAACACGGGTCTACTTCATACGACATATACTTACTGTTCTGACACTGATCTCCATGGAAACGTTTCCGGCAGATGCAGGTGCCATCTTCGGTGCACTGGCCGTCATTCAAGCATTTGCATGCTGCAGCAGGGATTGGGAATATTCACGCATTTCCAAAGCACACAAAAAGGAATAGAATAACGGACTGTCGAGAAATTGTTCACATGTCCTTGCCCATCATCATGGACGCCTCAAACCAGCTTTTTTAACCACTTACGAGGGTGTCCAACTCCCCATATCAATATTTTTGCCGAAGGGGTAGGGGTGCAGCATTGACTTCCGTGCACGCTGCTTTGCACACTTCACACTTTACACTTCAAGTGCAGAGATGTATTAATTTGTAGCTTCTTCTTTTCTTATTTTTTAGATCAGTTTTTCTACAAGGCAACACAATATTTTAGCTTCTTCGCCCCTTTTCGTGTATTCTAGTTGCAGTGTTCAGATTAGCCAGAATTCTTGTAGCCGACATATGCTCTCCCAATCAGTTTAAAATTATTACATCCCGGCTACAAACTAAGCATATGTTGCAGAATAGGTTCAGAGAAGCCCGCATGAGGACTCTGGAGTTGTTTTCTTGTCTTCAAAATACAACATTCAAGCATGCGTGAGAGCATAGGTCATACATTCTCTGACATGCCTACATACATTACAGCAGCTTTCTTCAGCCCTTACCTTCTGTGCAGTTAGGTCCATCTAGTCTGGTCGTACATTCGCATAATTTGTTCTTTTTCACCCAGGGATGTGTACACACAACTGCATCACACATCGCAAGGAAGGGGAAGAAGAGGAAGAGAGTAAATCAGCCAGACACGAAGTCAGACAGACTAAAGTTGCATTTGGTTGGGCAATTCCAGAATGATATTGACCACCCGTGATTCTGGATTGTTAATGATAGCTAGCATGCCGTCCTACCGGTAAGACCACGGGTCCTACCGGTAGAACCCAAGAAATCGCGCTGCAAAAGTGCTGTCGCTTGAGAATTTTGTTGAAACAATGGGTGAGATGAGGTTCTTGTAGTACAAAGTAATGGCGCAAAAGGCAAGACTACATCCAGGGCATTGCATATGTGCAATTTTATCAATTTTCAAAATGGGCGCCCATGTTCCTGTCGAAGCGCTTGCTACTGCGTCCAAAGTGAATTTCGACCATGGCATATTGATTGCCATGGCAGTGGAATGCAAAATTCCACACTCTGTTTCCATGGCTACCATGGACTGTTGACATAGAATTTCTTATTATGCCTCGTACGATCATGTCCAAAAAGCGTGGACTCCTTCATTAGCGAGTCAAAGTACTTGTCAGTGCATGATTAAAAAATCCCGAGGGAACTGAAAAAGAATACTTGAAGAAAACTAAATCTCTTCTACTTACCGAGTTGGCACTTGTCTCCGGTGAATCCTTTCGGGCAGCTGCATTCACCTTTGTTCTCACACTGACCCTGATTCAAGCACTTGCATGCTGCAACGCCCATCAATAAACGCATGCACGGAGTGGCATAGAAAAATGCACGGGGTGTTACTCTATGCTTAGTGGAAATCGAGACATTTATCATTTAGTCTTGTCTCCGCTGACCTGGTGAGAAGGCAGAAATGCCTGTTCACTTGGTGAAGTAAAATAAAAATAAACAACAACCACAACAACAACAACAACAACAACAACGAATTCTTCATTTCACAGAGCAAGCTGTCCGTGGCCAATGCGGATGAGCAAACTCCAGCCATCAACACCACCCCTGACATCCTCAGTCCCCTTCAAGAAATCTCGACTTCCCAAGCTGAGGTCGAAAAACTCCTCCGCGGAGTTGATACCAACAAAAGCCCCGGGCTCGACTCTATTCCAAACCGCCTACTCAAAGAAGCGGCTAAGGAACTTGCACCGTCGTTATCGTACCTCTTTAATTAATATAATATATTAAAGACGATATTATCGATATTATCGTTCCAAACCGGAGAAATCCCACAGGAGTGGAAAGATGCCACCATTACTCCAGTACTCAAGCCTGGTGACCCAACCCAACCAACAAATTATAGACCCATCTCTCTCTTGAGCACTACATCAAAAATCCAAGAAAAAAATTGCACGTCAACTCCCCTACAAGCACATCACACCCCACCTGCCCAACCAGCAGTCCGGATTCCGCGAGAAAGACGGCACTGAGCAGCAGATCGCCCGTCTCGTCCATACCCTCTCCACTGCGAGAGACGACGGGAAACACGTCAATGCCTGCTTTTTTGATCTAAGCAAGGCCTTCGATCGTGTGTGGCATGCCGGCCTTCCAGCAAAACTCTCCCACTATGGTGTCCAGGGCAACGCCCTGAAGTGGTTCCGACGGTACCTGTTGGGGCGTGGGCAGAGGGTCCAGGTGGATGGCGACCTATCGCCTTTCCTCGAGATCCCTGTCGGCGTCCCTCAGGGATTTATTCTTGAGCCGCTTCTATTCCTTGTCTACAACATAGACCTTCCACACGCAAGTGAGAATCCCGGCACCACCTGTAGCCAATTTGCAGATGACACCGCTCTGATTTCCAAAGCGAGAACTCTTCAAGACTGCACCCGAAACTACAGAGTGTCACAGCAGCTGGAGACTGGCTTCAAAGATGGCACCTGCTGGTTAACACAAAGAAAACAGTCATCCTCCCGTTCTACCACAATAACCGCCCCCCTGAACAGCTACCCCAGATCACCCTCAGGAATATTCTGCTTACCGTAGCACAAAAACACAAACACCTCGGAATAATCTTTAAGCATGACCTCCGTTGGACGGAGCATGTTGAATACATAGTCAAAAAATCACTCAAGTCTTTCAATATTCTTTTTAGACTAAGGTCTACACTCACCAGTGATTCTTTATCTCACATCTATCAGACATACATACTACCTATATTCTCATATGCGAGCAATGCTCTCACACCGTGGTCACACACTTCCCTTGACAGGCTAGAACGACTCCAGCGGAAAGCCGCCAGAATATGTCTCCACCTTCCCCTCTACACACACTTAGAACACTCCCACCTTTTGCGTCTCATCAAATGGCCAACATTATTTTCACACTTTTAAGTTAAACATATTCTTTTCGACTCTCTCGTACACACCACAACAACAACAATAGAACTGCAGGGTCGCAGCAACAGCTGCTCCAATTCTTGCACCGCATGTGTATTAATATTACTATGCCACAGGCACACAGCATTTAAACATAATCATGGCAGCCTGGTACACATCACTTTAGCATAACAAAAGGAAAACAACGCAAGACAGCAAGCGATCCAAGCCATGGGACAATGGATACATGAACTTCCGATCGAAATGCGTTCACCACGGCCTAGTGCACTGATTAATGGGAATTGCCGCCAGCGACAATGGTGGAGATGCTGAATAACCCCAAATGGGCCAGTCTAAAAAAAAAAGCCAATGTGCTACCTTAATACAGAATTATCTGAAATTGGCCCACACACGGAAACATGCTCGCCACATACACGCACTACTGCTTACTCAGCCAATAAATCCATATGCACATACATATCTAGCAATGGCTATCCAATTGGGTGGGCGGGTGGGATTCGCAACTGTACAGCAGCAGTGCAAGAACAAAAAGAACACTGTCTTCAGACCAGCATGCACCTTCATGTGCATGCTGCAACTCCGCACTGTGCAGCCAGTGCGTACCACACTCCCAGCACAGTCCGTGAACTCTGGACTGTGCACTCGCGTTTCGAAAAGAACAGCATTTCTTGTTTACTTCGTTGCTCTCATCCAACAAGAAATGAGACATTTCTTTTCGACTCTCTCGTACACACCACAACAACAACAATAGAACTGCAGGGTCGCAGCAACAGCTGCTCCAAGAAGCACAAAGCATAGCTGGCGGCATATAGACTGCCAAGCAGCGAGACATGCGTTCTGGCTGTTGACTTGACTTGCCTGTAGCACACAGTCGGAGAACAGCATGATCACTTCTGCGCCACTGACTGCCTCCTCCCCCTTAGCTCGATTGCTTGTAGCGTCCGCGCTCGGCTGGCTCTGCCGCAGCACCTTGAGTCATAATTGTAAGCCTGTAGCTTTCACCCTTATCATGCCTGCTGCTCGGGTTAACACCTGTAGTGTCCATGTATGCCTGTAGCACAACTCCGTGCATGACCGTATGCACCACTCGCAACATACACACCACACAGAAACAATGCAAACGGACGCTTAATGTCACATGTAACCATCGACAAAATATTAAATTCAATGTGTGGCCACCCAGACCACGGTGACGAACATGAAAACGAATACAACGATACTTCAACATTGCCTGTCATCATAGCTGTAGTGACATCCTCGGCAAGTGCTCCAATCGCTCTTCTACACCTCTCTCATAACAACGATTACAAAGCGCCTGGAGGCCGCTCGCCCGTGCAACATTACGTGCGTACCTATGGTGTTCTCTAAATTCTGGCTAGCACACTTAACTCATGGACTCACCTCTTTGCGAAGCTAGTGCTCTGGGTGCAACTTCTAGTTGATACATCTGTACGTGTTAACCGGGGAGCTTATAGCTGTATGTGTGCCTATAGCACTTGCCCTACCGCACCTGTAGCATGGAGGCAAACTTCCGCAAGCTCTCATTTCATGCACCGTCAGACATACTCAGGCTCTCCCGCATACAAACACGCGCCAGGTATGCTGTCAGCAATCACAGCCACTAACTGCGCACAATTTCAAAGCAATGATCTCGGACTTCGGCATGCCGTAACCAAACAAATTCCATGGGCATGACCCCTGCAAGAATGTATTCTCATCCTTTGGCAACCACACGCACTCTTTCACAAATCCGTACCACGCAGCTCCGTCATGCAATTTTGGCCACCATGGGGCTGACCGCCACTCTGGTACAACAAGAGTGCCATGGGTTCTGCATGCTAGCAGCATATCGATTGTACGTGAAATAAGGTAGATAGGGGGAACCATCCACACCCTTTCAATGGACCAATCCACTGTGAACGCATCAATCGCAAAGCACTCTGGGTTCCACCACCGGGAGCAGTACTTACTGAGCTGCTTAGTCTTAAAACTGGCAAAACAATCTAGGCTGTAGGGGCCCCATCTCCCCTCCATTTCGCGGAATAATGCAGGGTTCAATTGCCAATCGTCTTGGTCAACAACCTTCGAATAATAATCAGCCAGCTCGTTCTCTTCCCGAGGTACCCATTCTGCCCTAATCCTCACGCTAAAACGCCTGCACAATTTGTGTATTGCCATAGCTTCCTCTTGCAAATGCTCTTTGCGGCTACCGTTTTCGATAATGTGTGCCGCTGCCTGGTTGTCTGTGCGATGTATGCAAGCCTTCCCAGCAATCTTTGGTGCCAATGACTCCAGAACAAGCTTAACAGCCCTAAGCTCACGCCAAGTAGAACTTAGTCTCTTTTCTTTGATTTCACCTGGCCATTCACCCTTCGCAACATGCACACCCAACCTCCCCTCCATGAAACCTCCCCAGCCAGTGTCGCTGGCATCTGACCAACAGATAACTACAACACGTGGGTCCTTCTTCCAGAAAGGCTGGCCATGCAATTTGTCAAAAGATTCTTTCCAGAACTTCAGGTCATCAATTGCCTCCTTTGACCAAACTGTTTGAGCTGCCCATGACTTCCTCAATAGGATCATGTGGTAGAATGCTCTAGTCCTCAGCCTGCAAATCTGGCCCAGGGCCAGCGACATGGACATTATCATTCCAGTCATCCTTGCTACCAGCTTAGCTGATGGTTGCCTGCTACCTGACATTGTGCTGAGCATCGACTTAAGCTTTTTAACACGCTTTTCGGAGGCTCGGATGGCTCCAACGCGTAGGTCAACCACCATACCCAACATCTCTACAACCTGAGAGGGCTCCCAACGGCATTTCTTTTCATTAGCTACAAATCCTGCGTTTTGGAGATCTTTCTTCATTTGATTTGCTACCTTGTGAGCACCTGCTTTGGAAGCATGTCCTCCCGACCCATCGTCCATGTACAGTTGGCAACGTATACCCATTGCCCTCCAACGACGCACTAGCACCCTGGTTACCTTTGTAAAAATGTAAGGGGCGGTTGACAAACCAAACGGCAAGACGCAAAACGTATAGTATGCTGCTTTTCCCTGGGGGGTTACCCAACTGAAACCAAGATACCTCCAGTGGCTTTCTGCTATAGCAATGTGGTGGTAGCCACTCTTCAAGTCGAATGTAACCAAGAAATCGTTCTTCTCATATACATCTGCCACCACCTTCAAATCTTCCAGTTTGAACTTGAATTTAGCCAGGTGTTTGTTGAGGTACCTTAGGTCCAGAATAAGCCTCAGCTTCTTCCCATTATCCACCACTCCCAACGGGCTACACACTGACACTTGGTCTCTGTTAACCTCTTTAATACAACCGCGAGAACGCATATCTGAAATGGCCTCCCCGACAAAATCTGGAAACTCATGTGTACTTTTGTGGTTGTCTGACCACCTGGGCCTTGGCAATCTAACAAACGGCAGCGTGTATCCATTATTGATTACTTCAAGTACTAACTTTGGTGCTCCGATTTCTTCCCAGAACTGCACGTTTTTCTTTAGACTGCCAATGACCACCCTGTCCCGGTCCCCTCCGAACTCCCCATCCACGCTATGCAACATAGAATAGGTTTCAGCATCTAATTCATTGCTTTGAAATGACATATCATAGTCGTCAGCTGCACAGGGTTCAGGCATTTCGCGGCTGGCTAGCTGCTTGCCGGCGGGGACACACGCGAATGTAGTGGCCTGTTTCGCCGCAATGGTGGCATGCAAGTTTGCATTGTGGGCACCCCACCCCTTGGCCGACTGGGACGCAGTGCGGGGGAGAAAGGGCTGCTTGGCTTTTGGCGCAGGGGGGGATTGGATGGCTGCCATTAGCCTTTTCCTTTTCTGCGGGCACCCGACAATCCCCAGCATCTCGCCACCCTCTGCAAACGTTTTGGCTGCCTCGTGCCCGTGTGCATCTGCAATGACCAGCCACTCTTGCCTATCCCGCAACAAGTTCTCACCTTGCTTGGTGGCTCGCCTTGCCCTGTCCACCTTCCTCTTCCCTAGAGCAGCACGCACTTCGCCGAGCTCTTCCAGCACAGCAGCGTTTGTCTCGTACTGTCTCTCGTACGAGGGGTTCTTCCACCACCTCGACGAGGTTGACTGGGGACACGCGGAACGACTTCTCGAGTTTTTGGCCTTTTTTGATTTTTTGCGACGACGGCGAGACTCGGGAGATGACGATGAAGACGGGGATGACGACGGAGACGAACAGGGGGAAGATGAGGATGATGATGAGGATGATGCCGACGACGATGGGGACCGACGACGACGGCGGCTTGACCGTTCCTTGGCCAGCGCCGATTCTAGGGCGCCGATCCTCAACTGCTGCTCCTGCAGTTGGGCGTTCGGTTCGGCTCCACTGTCGGAGCTGCTTACTTCAGGTCTGCTTGCTGAGGCAGGCAAACTACCTCCCCTGGAGGACCTGCTCCGGCCTCTTGGGGTGGAGGATCGTCCACGTCCAGGCATGATCAGACAGATTACACTAAAGAAACGAAGAGAAAAGCACACGCAGCGAAAATTCGCAACTGTACAGCAGCAGTGCAAGAACAAAAAGAACACTGTCTTCAGACCAGCATGCACCTTCATGTGCATGCTGCAACTCCGCACTGTGCAGCCAGTGCGTACCACACTCCCAGCACAGTCCGTGAACTCTGGACTGTGCACTCGCGTTTCGAAAAGAACAGCATTTCTTGTTTACTTCGTTGCTCTCATCCAACAAGAAATGAGACATTACTCTTCGCGCATTCTCTGCGCCACAATTATGCCCCGCCACATATACTCTCGCTGCATACTGCTAGCAACGTGCAACCTTCGTATAATTTACGTCGCTCTCGTACTTGGCATTGCCAACTCCGCGGACTGACCGCTGTCTCCATTCTCCCCTGTACAAAGCCCTTCATTACTCTAATTGCTTGCCCACCCAGCTTCGCGAAATCCCTTCTCGTTTTCCCTTCAAATGCACAACTCTGTATGCTCGTGTGGCGACCACCCCTGCCCGTACACTTAAGTAGTCATTAACCCCTAGGCCTTGCCCACCCAATTCTTCCTCACTCTTTCTCCTTTCTTACACTATTATCTCTTATTGGCCACTGGCTATCGTGAGAATAAAGATTTGAAACAACAACAACATTTGCCTGGGATGGGCATGATCGATAGGGCGAATCCCGAGCAAGTGCGTTCCGAGCAAGTGCGTGATCAATTGGCCTAATCTGGCCGAATCCGGAGTAGGTGTACTTGGAGTGGAATCCGACCACACCGGCCCCCAACCCGGGAGTCGCTGGAGTGGAAATGGACGTTGACGTTTTTTGGAAGCCTTCACAGAATCTTTGTACGACATGCGTGCATTTTGCGTACCACACCCTTGCTTTGTTAGATTTGGCCAGCGTTGCTCGAATGTCACTGCCTGCTCGCACTCAATCCAGTTTCGCCAATCGATGACACCCTTGAGCACGAGTTAATTACCCATTTAGCCGTGGCAATGTCAGCCATCTCCAGCAAATGCTTCATCCGAGGTACAAGGCTTTCCATGACTTTCACATTAACTAAGTGGTCTAGGTAAATTGGGCCGGTCTCTCCGCTTGCATAGATCATGATACTGGATGATCTCCAGCAGTCTTGCTGCGTGTTCTCAGATAAACCAAAAAAAAGAATGGCTCGGTGTCTTACCCTTTTCACAATATTGACCATAGGTTGAGGTGCGGTTACACACACAACTCAGGTTTGGTCCAAGAACACCGGTCTCACATGTCTCTGTGCAGAACAGGATAACAAAAAGTCAATTGCATTACACTCTAAAGGTCGATTCACAGTACAACTTTCTGCGACGTGACACACGATTTGCGACAGTTGCGACAAGAATCTGCCTGTCGCGAGCTGTCGCAAGCTGTTGCAAGGCACCTGTCGCAGAAGTTGAAGAATGTTGTACGACATATACAAAATGGAGTACTGTTTCGACCCTGGGTGCACGTGCAGTGCACGTGCATAGTAATACTAGCGCATAAGGATGTCGCAAACATGAAAACGATAGATGATATGCCATATAACGTGCAACTAGACTTGGGAGGGCATTGCAGAGCAGTTTCATACAAAGTTCAAAGTTGTACAGTTACCTGTGACTTGTCCTCTTGCAGAGCTCAGGGCCTACCGTGTACACATTGTAGTATAATTTGTATGCAACTTGTGTGCAATGCCCCCTCAAGTCTAGTAGCACGTTATTTGGGATATCATCTATTGTGAACTGTGTGTCGCTGTCGCAGCTCGTCGCAGGTGTTGTAAAGTTGCATGTCGCGTCGCAAGAATTTGTATTGTGAATCGGCCTTTACAGTCCCTAACGCTTGACATTTTTGATAACCCAAAATGATGGTCCAAGAAACCTTATCAGGCAGCAAAAAATTATAGGAACTCATGCGTGAGAGCAGGGATTTTTTTCAGTATCTACCCTCATAGGATCTGCCAAGTAGCTAAAGCATAGTGCATTTGACAGTTGCCGTTAAAATACAGCAGGGTGCCAATTGTCAGCCACCCTTCGGGGCATCGGCCATTTCCACGGTGATCAGATGAGAAGAATGGTCGGTTATGGGACCACTCATACATCTATCACATGCATATTCCAGCATATTTTCACCATTTTTAATTCTCTTCGGTAGTACAACAGGACCTAGGTGCACTCCGGCTTCTCATCGTTGTACATTTTGACTGAACAACCTGCTGTAAAACATCTTGGGCATCGCTTGAGTGGTGCTCCGAGTGGCAAAAATCAGCAAAACTTCAAAAAAAGCTGCCAATTTTGTATGTTGTCCAGCCCGACCAGGAGATCCGGATAACCGATTGTCCGGAGAGTTAACGTCCGCACAATCGGTGTTTGACTGTAAAATAATATCCCATCATACCCCTCTTGCGAACGCCTGGATATTGCCTGCGCTCCCAGGGTTGCGGACAATCGCCACGCTACACTGCATAGACTTTCTTCCAACAAATAAAGTTGCTTGTGCCAAACAAGCAAGTCGCAATCGAAACTTTGAAATTACGGGAAAAAACACAACCTGATCCTCACTTAAGGAAGGGCTCTCTATATTGGGATCCATTGTGCGTACAAGAAATGCTTGGATACGACATTTTGCACATTGCAAGGTCACATCGTACATAGTGGCACATTATTAGCACAAGCCCTGTTCACACAGTTAACGGTGGCACAGGAGACATGTTACACAAATGCACAAATGCACAACAGTATACTCATCGTGCTGATGTCACACACAAGGGCAGAGCACTACTTGCGCATGGTCAGCCGTTTAAGTTAAGAAGCCTTGTCTCACTTACTGACACAGAGAATCTGGGCTTGAGTTTTGCTTGTGGCGTTCTGAAACGTCTGCTTTCGCGCGCTAAACATTACGGTTCTGTAAAGGGAATGGCCATTGACTCGGATTGACGCGACGTGGTAAGGTGCTTGCTGGTGTTTATGCAATAAGGCCAACTTCTCTAGCCAGCGCTCTGTTAACACATGGCCATGTTCTTCTAGCCACTCCTTGGTAATGAGATGATGTCCATACTCCTGACATGCGTCCTCTGCGAACTGCTCAGTCACGCTGGGTCTGTGTGCTGGAGTTGCTGCGGCGTGTACAGAACCGTTGGCCTGGAGCCATTTGGCTGCAAAGCAAGGGAAGATACAGTTGTGGGTAGAAACACATCATGAAACAAATCTACGAATAAGGGGAGCTTGAAATCAAACGCCCCGCTCCATGACACCCGATCTCATGGATAAGGAAGTGCCCAGAGCTAGTGAGTAGTTCAATGTTCTAGTGTTGAAACGAGCGTATCTATAACAAACGAGCGATCAGTTTCACTAACGAGCAACCTATCAAGCGAGCTAACGAGTTTCATTGATGTGGCAAATATGATTTTCTGAATAATTTTTTTTCTATTAAAGTTCGACTTTTTTCAGATGGTTCAAATTATCACCGCCGGCATTTGGGGTTGCTGCTGCTTCACTTCGGACTGTTGTTTGGTGTCGAGATATCTTTTCAGCGCCGTCTTTGAGCAGCCTTTGAAAGAAAAGACCGTTTTGCAAAGATGGGAAGTAGCCCTGGTCTTCGCTGCATCGCGGGAGAAAACTTCCAAACGACTGAGCGTAACTTTCACTCGAATGGAGGTGACCGAAGCATATCCTGCGACAGGTCAGCAGATGCGGAACAAGACATCAGTTGAGTCCACCAAAGCTGCAACGACAACTGAAGCAACTCAAAGTGTCGTGCAGGCATACAGTCACTGCAAATGCGAGTGATTTTCACTTTGCGCGGGACTGGACTCTCGATCGACCAAGGAGTCGTAAAATATTTTACGACTCCCCGGTCGACATGTACTGCCATGTGTACGGAGTATGGTGTACGGTGTTCTTTAGTGCAAAGGAGCTGGCCGCACAAACGAGCCGAGTTTCTGGCGAGCGAGTTAACGAGTATCCGGTGAGATAGTTTCAACACTACAATGTTCACAGGCCTGGGGCTCGCCAGACTTCGTAGAGCAGCACCGTGTCACATTTGCAAATCATTCAGCGGTTCTACCAAGGGAGTAGTATAACACCGGGTTATGGCGCAAGCATACACATGAAATGTTTCTTCGCAGATGAAACTAATTGGTTACTCATGTGTGGATATGACCCTGGCTAGAGCGGTAGGTTTCTCATTGAAGAGGGAAACCTCGGTTGCATTCACTACTCCCGCCGTCTCTGTTTCATTCCTCCTGTCCCACTACTATCACTGGACACACCCTTTAACCCACTAACCGCTATATATACATCATTGAAAATGATGCCCAGGCGCTGAGGACGTATATATATGAGTGGTTGCTCCCAAGGTTCCTAACTATATATAGAGAATTAGAAAAGTTGAATGACGATTGAAAAAACTCAAGAAACTCGGAGTACCAGATATGGATTGATCGAAGAAGGATAGATTGACCATCACTGTGGATAAGCGTCATACTGTAGCTCAGTTGGTTAGAGCATTGCTCGCGAATAGCAAGGTCCCTGGTTCGAGTCCCGGTGGCGTGACTGATGATTTTTCTTTCTTTCATATCTGGCTTGCAAGTGTTGAGTTTCGGAGAGAAAAGAGCAGTACGTGGCATGTGGCCTCTGGTTTCCCAATGCGCTTATAATGTCAACACTATTGGTGAAACACCCGGGAGCTGAATATACTGCTAAGCATTGTGATAACACCGTTGTTTAGAACACAGACAAACCTTTATTCCCGTAGCTATGCAGAAGACGTTACTTCAGTAACGTCTGGCGCTAGCCAGGGTCCACACAGCTTTAATTTGGTGTTTGTTTGTTTGTTTGTTTGTTTGTGTCACGCCTGGCGCTATCCCGTATCTGTCCCGTACCGTATCGCACAGCTGGCCATTTGCTGGCTCCCGTATCTGTCCCGTACCGTACCGTACCATCAAACACAGCTGGCTACAAACAGCTGGCCACAATATTATGTACATGTACATGTATACGACTCCATGTGTGTTGCAACTGTGCTTGAAGGGGACGGTTGCACTTTTCGTAGCTCCATTTTATCTGAGTTTTCAGCCGTTCCTCTTACTAGTCTTGCCAAGGGGGTGGCTCTGGGTCCACCAGAGTTGCCCCTGGCGTATTTCTGAATTTGCTGGGGCGAGGGTTCCGCGACGCGGTCGCCAAGGCAGTGTCTTTTCAGTCACGACCGTTGTCGTCCTCGTCTCTCCATTCGCGGTGGTGTAGCTGACCCCCGAATGGTTTCAAACTGCGAAGCTCGGAGGAGTACAGTGGTGGCAGAGGCATGAGCTGTGAGTGGAGACGGTTGCTGGAGATGGATGGTGATGCAGGGAGAAGAGTTACGCTGCCTGACGCCTCGTGGGAAATTGTTTGAACCTGCAATTTCAGTTCGAGCGCGGTGGACTTCTAGACGATGTGTCCTCATGGCTGTTTTTCAACGCTTGGCCCATCGCTGATATCCCTGCGTGGGATGTTCTTCCAGTGGAGTCCAGGTGGGACTTCGGGTGCCCACACTCCATCACCTGGTTGATTGTTTCGGAACTGCAAAAATAATTATTGTTTCCTATTTTAAACTCGGGTATTGAGCCAATAATAAAAGTAGAAAGGAAAAGGACATATGGAAACGAGTTAAGAGTAACTCTCCACCGCTGTAACTTCCAAGTTGGAAGGCTGTCGGTTAGCGCTACGGAGATGTGTTGAAGCTAGGTGTCAGGACGTCGAATGTCTCAGTACTCTGTCAGTTTTGTGCCTAGTTGTTGCACTTTCTGACTGTATATAGTATCTAGTTACAGTGGTGGAGAGTTACTCTTAACTCGTTTCCATATGTCTTTTTCGTTTCCTATTTTGTGCGCATCTCTTGTCATCTCTCTTTTCTATACGTTGCACACCAGATGTACTACTATCGCCGTCTTTCTCTTGCTTTCTCTCCCTGCTTGCTGTTTTTTTTGTTTCTGTTGCCACTGTCCCTCATCATACCCATGCTTGGGTGGTGGGCGGCCTGACCCGTTAGGGTAGCTGCCAATACAGTACGACTCCCTTATGTATAGAGAGACTTTCTGGAAAGAGATAGGGAGACGAGGAGGAAATGAAATTAGAATGGATGTTGGTTGCCGAATAGGTGATAGGATGCGTCAGTAAAAACATATTTTGGAAGAGACATCCCGTCGTCTCCAAAATAGGCGTGAACGGGCGAGTCAGCGTCGGTCACAGGAAACGTCGGCAGAGAGATCCCGTCGACTCCAGAACGCGCGTGCTCGGCAGGAAACATTTCCATCAGTTCCCACAACATGCACGATGAGCTAAGTAACAAAGCATAGCGTAGGGCCCTGAGCTTCCAAGCTCTCTCGTTGCACATATAAGCGTATGGGCTTCTACCCGGGCATGTTCACACAGAGAAAACTCTTTTTCGCAGCAAATTTTCACATATAAGCCCATGGGCTTATATGTGGGGAAGTATGGTATATACCGGTTTATACTGAGCTTGTATACAAACTCTCATCTCTCCCCACACAACACTCCAGACTTGTATTTTGCATATAACAGGTACTTCGATGACGAGAATATAAACTGGTATATAAACAGGTATATAAACTGGTGTATAAACTGGTTTATCACTCTTCTATATCGACCTCCACTAATTCTCGTGATCCTTGACTGGTCCTATATTGCCCATATCGCCGCAATATCGACCGCTTATATCGACCGCTTGTATCGACCACTTAGGCATTGTAATCTTTCGACTTTGGAGGGACTTCGAATTTTTCTCTCCACTTCAAAAAGAAAAATTGAAAGAAAGAAGACAAAGGAAGAGAACAAGCAGGATTCGAACTCACAACAGTATGAATCTCAAGCAACCCCTTATACCACCCAGCCACTGTGCTGCAGATGCTGAACTCTGTTGTTCTTACAGTCTTGTACCCAAACTTGGCAGCATCCTATGTACACTATAGTACAAATGCTATAATAAAAAAGGTTAAAATAGCTCCTAAAGGTTCAAATTTTGGGGTTCTGGCAAAGGAATCGTGATAAATAGGATATTGACCTCGACTTCGGTCTATATGGGAAATATAGGCCTCGTAAAAGACCTCGGCGGACCTCGGTCTTTTACTCGGCCTATATTTCCTGTATAGACCTCGTCTTGGTCAATATCCTATACGTATAAACTGGTATATAAACTCCTTTTTTTAGGATCACACTAGGGGAGTTTGTATATCAGCTCAGTATAAGCATAATATAACCTACTCAGTTCAATATGGGAAATATAAACCAATATACAAACCTCGGCTTCGCCTCGGTTTGTATACAGGTTTATATTTCCCATATAATCAACTGGTTAGGTTATATTATATACATAGATTATACATCTTTTTCATTGCCAAATAAGAAGTGCAGAGCCTGGGTGCCGTGGCCTATAGCCTTAAATGGGTTAAAAACGCAACAGCCTACCTTCACAGATGACATCATGATTGCCTCTTCCACCCCTGTCAAATAGTGCGTCGCTCGAGTTGTCCTTGCCTTGCTTGTAAATAACATGCTGACCAAAGTACATGTACGATGTCCATATCTTGAGAGGGGTGCTGTAACTGCTGTTACGTCTAGCCATCATCTCGCTCACCAATGATTTTATGCAGTCACTAACACCCAGCTTCAAGCCAAGCCCAGTGAAGGAATTATAGTCTACGACGTTGTATCCTCTTCTCACGCACATCTCGCGGGCGTGCACGAAGTTCGTTTTCTTCTGGCAACTGCCATAGTCGAGATGTGGATAACACGGCAAGCTGGCAAGAGCCATCCAGGTGAATATTGCATTATTTGTGCCCGGGCACTTTGTCTTGAAAGCTGAATATAACACAGTACACATGCAAGACACAGTCAGGCGAAGTAGAACACAACGAACACCGACTTTCTCAGATGGATACCGGAATCCAGTTCAAATAATAGAGAGGTTAAGATGCATGTTATTTCCGATAAAATATTGGTTGGGGATTGTCTGAAGCATATTCAAGCGAGGTACAGTCGGGCTTGATGACTGATCAAAGCCCTCGGGCTGGTCCCTTGGGCTTCGATCAGCCATCAAGCCCTCCGTATCTTGCTTGATTATCTACTTGAGTAACGTTACTCTGATTAGGCGTATATGCAAGCAGGCTATTGAAAATTTTTGTGGTAACCGTCTTTGCACCGGGTTTGGAGAGCTGAGCCATGGTTAATTCATAGATAGCGAGGGAAGGAGGGGCGGGGGGGGGGTGGGTATACCAATAATCAAACTTCCGAGGCACTTTCTTTCGCATTTGAGACAATTTCTGTAACAATCAAGTGCTTTAGAGGTGATTTACACGACAACAGGATTCATCCCGTGCCTGATGCTACCATGGAGATTTAGTCTTATGTGCTCATATTTTGGCGCGAACGTATCCCGCCGGCTATCCCGGTACGGTCCGGGCGCCATGAGGGGGCTGGGGGGGGGGGGGAGGGGGGCGGTGGTTGGAAATGCATGTCGTGACGATCCGTGGTCTGTTTTGCAAGCTCTCGAGATCACGTGCTTCTCTTCCCTGCGGGATGCACTGCCGTCATGTAAATCGCCTCTTAGGAAGTCAGAGAGATCTCGAGCTTGGTCTCCAGAAAGGCATGCTGTCTTCAAGCACTAGCTTCCTGTGTCCAAAAGGAGGGGGTGGTAAAACACAGGTATGAATCGGTTCGGAACCCAAATTTGGTTCCGAACCGATTCATAACTTATGAATTATTGTTGATGTATGCATGCACGTGTATGGTCACAATTCCCAGGGGCATGTGAATCAAAGAAACACGAGTATTCACTTCATTTAGCAGTTACTTACCATGTTGACACTGGTCTCCATGGAAACCTTTCCGGCAGTTGCAGGTGCCGTCTTCAGTACACTGACCATCATTCAAGCAATTGCACACTGCAGTAGAGATTGGGTGCATTCACGTATTTCCCAAAACACACAAATAGGGATAGAACTAGAATAACCTACTGGATTCTCAAGTCGTTGTCGCATGTATCTTGATCATCATGACATTGTATAGACCTCAACATCGCCACAAACGCTAACACTAACACCCATTCACCAATCCCAGGTATATCAAACTTATACTCATGCCTTGCACTTGAATAGAACACACGTTCAGTAATAAGCTGGAGAACCAGGCATAAACGCTGGGAGCTACTTTTTCTTGTCTTCAAATACAACAGTCGAGCACGCGGGTATGCATGGGTCATATGTTCTTTGACAAGCAGACTACAATGACAGCAGCTTTTTTTAGCCCTTACCTTCTGTGCAGATGGGTCCGCCTGGTCTCGGTTTACATTCACATGCTTTGTTCTTTTTCACCCAGGGATTTGTGCACACAACTGCATTACATATCACACACAGAGAAGACAAAATGAGAGAGCGGATCAGCCATACACAAAAATGGACAGACAAAACGAGAGTGTTGTGGAATTATCCACCACCAGACCAGCGCAAGGATATAAGTTGGACTATAATTATTAATTTCAATTCCAAAATGCACAAGAAGTGTACAGAAGAAGAAAGCACGAACTCGACCAGGCCAGAAGGAAGAAGAACTGAACACAAGATATTGAAAACCCTTCTCCTCAACAAGCTGCATCACTTACAACGCAAAACAACTGGCTGCACCAACGCGTGCATCAGCGCGTGCACCAGCGCTGCACCAACGTGTGCACCAGCGAAATCAATATCGAAAGTACGTATCACTCATTACATTACGTACAACATGCGCAAGAGGGTTACTCTACTTCACCTCTCCCCCTGGTGGTATGCCAAACAAAATACCACCACAAATACTAATAGCGCCACAAAGCAGGGGCCATATGGGCGAAACTGATACGGAGCAGGATCATCGGCAGGGGCTCGAAGCAGCACATAATTAGGATCACGGGGATCAAACCGAGATCCAGCATCAGGGACAGCACCCACGTCAACAACAGCATCTGCAGCAGGCACATCACCAACAGCATCTGCAGCAGACACATCAGCAAACACCTCAGCACCAACATCAGGCTTCAGCAGTTCAACATTCACCACTTTCTCACCACCACCAGCCTCATTGCGAATTACCACAGCAGAGGGGGACACAATGTGAATTACCACCCAGTCACGCTCATAGGGCGGCTCACAATTCTGGCGACGATGGGAACGATGTAGAAGAACGGCATCACCAACGGCGAACAGACAGTTATCAGCTTCAGACTCAACAAAGTCCTTGGAGGACAGCTCAGCTTCCACAAAATCACGGATCCGGGCAGCCTGGCGTTCAAGATCAGATGGAGTCCGGCCCAGCCCAGGAGTAGCCGACAAGAGCACACCGGAGGGCTCCCAGCCAAGCATCGCACGCATAGGAGAAATCTTGAGGACGGAGTGCAGACGAATACGGTCGAAATACAGTGACACATCCAGCTCAGATCGCCAATCACCAGTCTCATCCAACACCTTCCGAATTAAGGTGAGGAGAGTGAGATTAAATCGTTCAACAGATCCCTGTCAGTGGGGATGACACACGGCACCGTTGAGCACTGTCGCACCAAACGTGTCAAACAGCGATGACATCATGGCGTTGATGAATTCCGTGCCATTATCACAGCGGACCACTCGGGGCGGGCCCCACCGCGTACACAGGCCGACAAATGCCTCGGCCACTGATGCCGCGTCATATTGACGGAGCGGAACCACTTCCACCCACTTGGTGAAAGTATCCATGCAGACGAGAACACAATTGTACTCTCCACTCTGATCGACGCCCAGTTCCAGAGTATCAATTACTACAACACTCCATGGCCCATCAGCCACCACAGGGCGAGTGGCATCTGGCGAAACACCCTTGGTTGGGCTGGCAGCAGCACACAGCGAACAGTGGCGCACAAACTGCTGACATTGGGCATGTTCGGGAAATAGCACTTGGAGCAGAGGAAGCGCCATGTACCCTCCCAAGACGCATGACCACAGTTCACATGAGCAGCACGAACGACTTCGGACTCGAGTGAACTAGGAATAACAGGAATGACGACTGCATCATTGGGTGGCAACTTCACACTTCGACACAGCGTACCATCATGGACTACGAGCTGTGACTTGACCTTGACAAACGCAGGATCAGTAACTGGGTCACCATCGATGACTTGCTGGCAAGTCGAAACAATCCGAGGATCTGCATTCTGAGCAGCAGATACTCTGTCCAATGAGAATGGGCCAACGGTCACCACCGCAGCGGTGACGGACGGTGCAATCCGAGCAAGGAGCGTCTTGCCACATCGGATCCAGCTGCTCGGAACACGGGTCAATTGATCCGCCTTGTTCTGCTGACTGCTGATCCACTGGACCTTGACTGTCAAGCCCGTGACAGCGATGAGATCAGTGATAATCTGGAGACGGCGCTGTACAAGTACCTGCTGCAGGCCGCTGACGCGAACACGAGACACCTTGCCAAGCACCGATTGCAACCAAGCAGCCACAGTCTTGGAATCGGTGAATAGCGTGAGCTCCTTCACTTGCCACTGCACGGCAAGTTGCAACCCCTTGATCACGGCGTCAAGCTCAACGATGTTAATGTGTCGCCGGTCGTCCTTCTGCCGCAGCCAGCAGCCATCCTCGACAATTATACCATCAGCCTGAATGACATCAGCCTGAATGACAGCACGATGTGCGATGTCCGAAGCATCACTTAAGGAACTGACCACACACCTTGCGCAGGGTCATCGGTCTGCAGACGGCGAATGACTTCCGCACAACAAGCGATGACTTCATGACACACTGGATCGTCCCATCCAGGCTGAAGGCTAGACAGACGCTTCAGATAACTGCATGCTGGGCGCAGCCAGGAGCCGACGGGATAGTGGCTGGTCAGCTTGCCACACCACTTGAAAATCTCACGTCGTGTGATGGCATCGGGCTGACAGGTCGGCATGACGTCACCACGACGCTTCCACCTCACTTGGCCATCTGCAGACTCTGACAGCTGCAGACGGAGTACCCTAGCAGAGACGACTGGTAACGCTGGCTTGGTGCGCAACCCGTACTGCGACAGCTAATCGGTGACAGCACGCAGGCGAGGCTTGGGAACATACAAATCGTCGACATAGTTATCCACATCAGCATACGCACGGAGGACGCACTTGATGATTATGTCCATGAATTTGGGCGCAATCGATAGACCGAAGCCCATCCTCTCCATTGCGAACAGCTGGCCCTTCCAGACGACCGTTTGGAACTTGGCGAGAGCTGGCGCGATGCGGATGTTAAGGTAAGCCTTGCTGATGTCCGGCAACACGTGGCTGTCGACGTTGCCAGTAGACCTCCACTGACACAACTTCTCTTGGCAAACAGGCACGTCCAAACCTGGATGCGACACAATCAACTTGTTATGTTGCCGGTAGTCCAAACACGGGCGGACAGGGGTGGACACCTATTGCGTCTGGGCCTACGCCAACAAGGGCAACACAGCACCAGGCTCACCATGGACTGCTTGGTCATGGGGTACCAACCATCCATTGCGGATCCACAGGTCCACTTCCTCGCAGAACTGTGACCCCTATCCTCTGTCCCCCTCTAAGTCTAACAAATGAGGACTGAGACCTGTACAACAGAGTTTTTAGGCCTGAAAGCAGGTGCATGATTTAACAAGCAGGTTGTCAGTCTAGATTTTATGCGCAGATGGAGAAAAAATGCGCAAAATGTTTGTAATGAGATGAAAAGCAGAAATAATAAGAAATAATAAGAAAAGATGAAATGAAAGCCTGCTCACAACCCCGTCCAGCCTTGCGAACTGGGTATGGGTTATTAAGAACCCGGTTCAATGCTCGCTCTCCACTCAAGGTATTCACGGCAACTGATAGGAACTCATATTATTTATTAATAATTACTTGCATGTACGCGTTGGAGTCAACCATGCAAGCATCATCCACAACTTTGCTTATGCTGAACATGATAAACAGGACTATGACAGGGGAAAAAATCGAGCTAGAACGATGATATAATGATATAATAATTATTATCATATACAATGTGAGCCGCAGCCAGCAAAAATGGTACTATAGGGTGAATTTTTGGAAAACAGTTTTTTTGCTCCAAACCGCTTCTTCATATGTGAATTATCATTCCTGATAGTTTGAACGTATTCTAAGGTGCTGGGGGTGATTAAATACCACTATATGTACAAGGGTGTCCACATTGGCAATTGCTGTCAGTTGACTTCTGCATTATAGTTAGTTATAAGTCCTCTGCCATGCCCTCGGCCTCTTCTTGGCCTGTGGCATTGCTCCAGGTATTGCTTGATCTCCTTGTTCAGGTACAGCAGCCTTGGCAAGGTTGTGGGCAGGCGGCTTGCAGCGACAGCAGCAGAGTTGGTTGACGAGCGCATGTGCCTTATCTCAACCTCATCTGCTTGACAGTGCTTCTTCATGCAAACGACACCAGGAGATTCCCGTGCACGCAGCCGCTCACAGCGTGCGCAAACATCAGACCTCTGCTTCATGATGCACATAATATGGAGTATTGCTATTAGTTTTCCAAGGCCGTTTGAACGTGGTCAGACTAATAGGATGCGCACCTTCAGAATCACAGTATAGACAATGAATTTCTTTCTTTGTACAACTAGCTGCGCGTCCCCTGGGTGCTGCTGGTTGTGGCATTCCATACCGAGATGCATAGTTTTTGATAAACTGCACAACATTGTCAGCCACTGCAGTAGGTAAGATATTGGGCGGGGGTTTGCCCTTACTCTTGCTGCTCTGTGGCGTTGTAAGTAGATGTTCAGCGTCTTCTTGTAATTTACGTAGTAGAGTGTGCGACAATCCATGTGCATCTTGGAACACTTCACGACAGACGACAACACCGAGCATTGCATATGTGAACGAAAATTTGCGAGAACTTGCAGTTGCAGCTAGCTCCAGCGCTGGGGCTAGATATTTTCATTATCGCTGCAAGTTCGCCCAGCACGTACCGCTTCAGCTCACTCCTCTTCATTGCTCTCAAGTTACATACCAGTTCCTCGAGCTGGTCCGGAGGTAGCTTGGTCCAATGATTCACTTTGCATTTGCAACCGATGTCCAGTGCGTCACGTATCATCGCCGCTGCCGCTCCACTTGTTGCACTCGTTCCATCGCTAGTGGCATCCTCTGCATTGCTGAAATACTCGTCATCACTGCTCTGCGACTCCAGCGGTAAACAGGTCCGCTTTTCTGCAGGTGTGTCCGAATCTGAGTCGTCTGAGCCAGACGATTCGGCGATCGTATCACTGCTGTTTAGGCCGTAAAAACTTTCGTCATGTTCCCGTAGCGCAGCGAGGTCGTCAACGCTCGCACCGCAAATTTCTAGGCTTCGTCTTCTACTAGTACTCGTGCATGCCATGACACTCTGTGGATTCTCTACTTTCAGTACGCCTCTTCCATGCACTCACACTTGTTGAAAGATGAAGTTGCGCCACTTGATACCTTGTCAAGATGAAAACAAAATTAATAATCTTGAAGCGATCCTCATCAAGGAGACAACTCGTAAAAAGTACAAAACCACCTCAACTCAAAAAGATTTTTTTCTATTCCAAACTTCAAACACCCATTCTGAACAATTTCCGAAATTTTCTATAGTACCTTTTTTGCTGGCCGCGGCTCATGTAGCTCATGGGTATTGAAAATATGTCATTTATGACTATGTCTATATGTCATTGAATATTGCAGCCTGAGTGATAATAATACCGGTAGTGCTATTTCCTGAGTTTGACTGTTTCAGGATCTGTCGGAATATCACGATGCACAGATCTTCATACATAGATCTCGCCATGCGGGTCGGTCATGGGCAATGGCTTGCAACTCTGCAGAGCGGTTAGGTTCCCGAGCAATCCGGCATTGGCTTGGCGCAGATCTCCCACCAACGCCTGCGGCAGGGTCGTCCGCGGTCTACCCCTCCAGCACTGCTGTTGCTGATTGGCGAAGTACGCGAACATAGCCATAACAGCTGGGGATTCATCTGCCATCCGCAGGATGTGGCCAAACAGCCTCCAGCGTGATCTCTTCACCATGATACTCAAGGGTTCAGCTTCGCATCTGGCATAGAGAGCATCATTCGGTATTATTTGTGGCCATTTCACACCGATGAGTGACCTTAGCTGACGGCGGTGGAAGGAATCCAGGCGAGACAGAATGGTCACACTGACCCCCCCCCCCCACGTACCCGAGTTGTACGTTAGTACTGGAATAATAAAAGTGTTGTACAGCCGCAGACGCAAGCAGGAACTCATATGGGGAAATTATAGAAAACAAATAATAAGATAAAGAGAATAAATTTCAACGGACCTCAATAAACGGAGCCCCACATACAGTACCTCAGAAAAGTGGATCTTCCGACCAGTGTTTTTGTTGACGTTGCAACCAGATGATGTAGCTGCTTCACAGAGACGTCTTAATGCACAAATTTCAAATAAATTTTATTCTTCAATTAGAAAACCCAAGCGCTTTCAGAGCCCTCCGAAGAGAGTCCGGGATGAAACCACGCACACCTACCTCAACCGAAAAAGAAACGGCCTGCCACCCGTTTGCTCGGCATTGATCGGCCAGATCCGCATACCGCCTATCCTTCCGGGAGTTACTGACACTGAATCTGTCCTCAGCACAAACTGTCAACTCCGACCAGAATACAATCCTACAACTCGTTGATTACAAAACTATATCTGGTCTTAGGTTGGTAAGTGCAACACAGCTAGGGAAAGAAATCTTTGCACTAACTGCGTCGACAAGAAGTTTCAAGTCTGAGGCCGATGACAGGAGATCAGTCGTAACCAACTTTCGTCTGGGCTGAACGCGAACTGGCTTCTCTCCCGCCTTGCAAAACGAGATGAAGTCAAGCTCATTTGAATTTTCGGTTTGTACGGTGTTTGCATCAGCGCGGATTCGAATCTCCTCACGCATGTTCCTGTCGATGACCCCGAGTACGTTGTCGTGCCTCCAGGTGTATACGTGTAACGTCCTGGTCCAGCGCTACGCGACAAGCGCCAAACACGTGACGCGTAGTACAGGCCCAGCAGAAAGAGAGAGAGAAAGAAAGAGAGAGGGAGAGAGAGAGAGGAGAGAGGAGAGAGAGAGAGAGAGAGCGAGATGGAGGGAGCACGAATGCACGTACCGGAATGCTAGCAGAGCGCAGCTACCTTGGATCGTGATGGCGTACTTATCCATGCGCCGTTGGGTTGGTTTCGCGCCGAACGGCTTCACCTGTACATTTACAACACCAACGTTGCAGTCACAAATGACGCCTCAGCACCGGAGTCCAGGAACACGCGAACCTTCGCCTTTCGAGTTCTTCCCTGAACTCGTGCCACTCCGGTCATCAGTCGCACACTTGCTGAGTGTAGACAGCACGATCCCACCTTCTTCTCTGTTACTATCTCAGTCGGTTTCTCCCGCCTGTAACCTGCTCCGTCCAACACATCATGTATTTGCAGATGGTGCTTCCCCTGGCATTTTGTGCACCTCGCGCCTGACCGATAATCCCTACTACTTGAGGCAGTTCTAGCAGAGTCTCTCTCGCTGCAGAAAAACCGTTCTCCCTTCCTGTGGCAGCGACTTAAGCTGCTTCTCTGCATCTGCGACTAGGTGAGAAAGTACTCATTATGTACAGTAACATTGAGTGCCCAAGAACAACTCTCCTTTGCCTAGCTTGAACTTTCACCTGACGACGGCAAAAAGCAAAAAAATAGCTTTCAGTGTTTTGCCGAGAGTTGGTAACAAGCTCATCAGCTCAAAAACCTTCCTCTTCAAGAACAAAAAGATTACAATTTTTGTAATGAAACAGGCTGAACACTAAACTCAGGAATAGCGGGTTTTCATCTAAAGTTACTTTGTACAGTTCACATCTACTCTCGGACACTAGCGGAATACAATAAGAACAAGAAGCTGAAATCTGGAAAACAAGAACATTGCTGGTCTGAAGCCGGGACCCCATCCTAGGTACCTGAATGCTTTTGCATGGTTTTAATTGGCATGAGTAGACTGTAAACATTCTCTAAACACACCCTGATAGATGCAGGACTAGATGCAAAAACACAGGCTAACAGCTGGATCTTGAGTACCTAGCCGGAAAATATAAAGACGCTCCGTAACGCATGACAATGACAGGCCTCTATCAGCTACATGTTAAGTGCTGCCAACAAAATTGGTCTCTGGAAATTGGCGCAATGAGCATAACTTTCGAGTTTCCACATCCCGAACAATTTGACTGTGCCGACACCTCTGTACTCATTACAAATTGTTGACTGACCTTGACATTGAGTTCCATTTCCGTGGTAACCTGACTTGCACAGACACATGTATCCGCCATCATTATCAATGCAGCTAGCATCCACATGGCATGGGCTAGCCGGCAAACATTCATCAATGTCTGAACACCAGTATGTGAGCAGAATGCAAGGGGTTACTAACTGATTACATACTGCATGTAACCATGGCCAGCGTCATATTATAGGGACAACAAAAACAATTCAAATTCATCAGACAGCTCTAATAGCCTCAATCTCAATTGCTGTGAAAACAATTTGATCTTTTCTCGGGATTATAAACACCCGTGTCGCTGTCGATTGATTCTACAAACTCTGGTATAATCTATACTTGTCCAAATTCTGAAACCAGCAGAACATGTGCACAGATAAATCATGCAAACTGCTGCTGCACAGATCATTTCAGCGGACAGTGGACACTCTGGGGTGTTATGGCAGAAGCAGCAGAAAATGCGGCAAAGAACTAACAAACATAAAAAGGAACTCTGACCAGCTTTCAACACCACACAAGAAAACAGGAAATGGTTTGGTTTGCAAGCACTGCACACCATCATCAAGTGGAAATATCCACTGACTTTACTATTGGTACTAACTGTGGCAGTTTCCAGCTTGTCCATCGCCAGTGTACCCAACCATACACTTGCAGCTGAATGTTCCAATCACATCACTACACAACGCATTTTGATCGCATGTATGCAATGTGGTATTTGCACACTCATTGACGTTCTGGCACATGGGCGGTGTGCTGCTGACATCACCATTGGCTAAACACTGTGTGGTGGCATGGCCGACAAGGCGATGGCCGGGATTGCAGACAAATGTTCCCAGTGTGTTATAGACAAAGCTTGATACACCAGCCGGTAGAGAGAAACTGCCAAATGTAGGCGCTAATGGAGTAGCGCATGTAACAACTGCAATTGAAAAATCAGACAAGACACAAACAAATAACAGTCATTGCTGGCACACGTGATCACAATGGCACAGCAATTATCGCTGTTGGCAGCAACTAGAGATGAACGAATACTCCAACGTTCGAAAGGGTTACCCCAGGGAAATCACTTGGAAACGAGTTATGAAGCAAATGTACACAACTGTAACAAGATAATAACATAACTTTAATTCCCGTAGCTATGGCAAAGCGGCAATGCGGCAAAAAAAGAACAAACACAAAAGGAACTCTGACCAGCTTTTAATACCACACAAGAAAACAGGAAATGCTTTGATTTGCAAACACTGCACACCATCATCAAGTGGAAATATCCACCGACTTTACTATTGGTACTAACTGTGGCAGTTTCCAGCTTGGCCATCGCCAATGTATCCAACCACATCCGAGTCGCAATGCCCTGTGCCCACGACCACTTACTGAATCGGAGCCACCATTCATTATCAGACTCTCCACTTTAGGTGGTGGGTGACACTCGCACTTCTTTACTGGACTCATCAGTGCCAGCGGTTGAGGATGCGGTGGGCCAGTCATTGGGCTCCGTGATCCAGGTTGGCCCGCCCAACAAGAACGGACTACGGATCTGCTGTGCATTACTCCCATGTGACGGAAAATCTGCCGGGTTGTGAAGGCCCGGGCAATGGTTCCACCCAATGCCGACCTTCTTCGATATCTCTTGGTCTTGACAGACGCGGTTCACCACAAATGTTTTCCATTTGTACGATGGATTACCGATCCAATGAACGGTAGTGAGACTGTCAGTCCAGCCATAGACTTGCGTGAAGGTCACACGCAGCTGCTTCACCACAAACTCAGCATAGCAAGCCGCTAGACATACTGCATGTAACTCAAGGCGGGCTAACGTGGGCGGAGACACCGTTGCCACTTTGACCTTGGCAAATACCAAGTGTGACTCTCCATTGATGACTGCATACAAAGAGCATCGAAACGCTTTCTCACTGGCGTCCGCGAAGGCATGGTGCGCAATAGGCATGTCAAGATTTCAGTAAACCCAACGTGGTATGTCAAAGCCTACAACTTCAGCCAAGTCTCCCCGCCATCTGATTTAGCCACCCACACTAGTAGCAAGCATTACCTTCACTGGGGGCAGGGGTAACTGCAGTTGGATCCCAGGACGGATACCCTGATGACTCGGAACACCTGCTGAACCGTGATCTACAAGACCTGGCATTCTTGTGTCTAGAAGCACGTGATTTCATCATTCCTCTTGCAGTAAAATCCAAAAACTACACGCAAAAAGCCAAAAACTCAGTCTCTTTTGCATCAACTGTTGCACCGAAAAATTTTGGTGGCGCAAGGAGAAGCTTGTCGTTTGGAGTGGCAAGTGATCACCGCTGCTTTTTCTTGTCAGAGTCAACAATACACTTTGTTCTGCAGCGTTGGGAGTGGTGTTGGAGTAGAAATTGGTGACTAGACGTCGCGGAGGGGCGAGCTTTCCTGCGCAGGTATGAGTTGGGACGTATTTCAGAATGGTCGAGTGGAAAAATTGTTTATTTCAAGAAAACCCAAAAAGGATGAGGGGGACATGTCCTCAGTGCTAGAAGAGGTGTTCTACTATCTGCCGGTGTATAGTGTTTGCTAATTGAGGACGTAGCTCGCTGTTTTATCAGCGCTTGTAATTTGGCTATTTTCAAGACGATCATTTGTGGCGTCAAGGGATGATTGCCCTCGTCTTCTGGGATGCTGGCGTGGCTAAGTGGTGCTGCCCCAAGAACTCTTCGAAGGTGAGGTAATGTTGGCTTGATGGAGTTTTGTTCGTAGCTTGTTCTTGTACGCTGTGCCGTGGCTCGTTTGTAGACCCATAAATCTTGCCAATATTGGGCCAATATTGAGGGGTATGCCAATTTCATTGTTCCCTTCAAAAGATTTTGTGCGGGCTTTGGAATGTCGATCTACACCCCAAAGCAAACCTACCTGCAAAATTTGAGCGAAATCTGGGAGATCGACTTGCACATATGTTGTGGTTTTCTCAGACATGCTCTCTTAAGATGGAACAACTAAGCTTGGCATGGTACAGTCACCCAAATGGACTACAGACGAAGGCACACTCTTCGGGATAATTCTCTACTGGAGGACCTACTCATCAAGTGTTGGAACACACAGCTTGAAGAAGTCGGATGTTTTGTTCCCTTTCCAAAGAAATTAGTCAACAGAGCAGCCAGCAAGTACACTATTCCTACAGGCTGTAGGCCCACCTTCTGCTGCTTTCGCATATCAACATATGCCCAGAGAGTGCCAAATGTCCACTCCACTGAAGTGCGAGCAGCGCTCATTGAAGAAATGAATTCCTCTTGCTGTAGGTTGATGCCTGCACATTGGAAGCCTTTCATGATAACTTCACTGAGAGGGTACGCCGCATCACCGTACAGGGCCCAGAAACCACCATCGGGTCGGCGCATGTGTTGCTGCATTAGAGGCACCAGTTCACTTTCCGTGAGCACGCCTGCATCATGCCGATGGCGACCCTGGATAGGACGGTGTATGTGGCAAATCAGTCCATCTGGAACTGCGACAACGCACTGCTACTTAACCGCATGGGTATGCTTGTGGCCATTGTAGTGTACCCGCTAGTTCAGTTCGGGGCGGCAGATGGGGCGAATCGTACCGTCGATGAAGCATAGGATGTTATCCGCTGCTGGGTGAAGTATGGCTGCGTGAAGTATGGCTGGGTGAAGTATGGCTGGGTGAAGTATGGCTGGGTGAAGTATGGCTGGGTGAAGTATGGCTGGGTGAAGTATGGCTGGGTGAAGTATGGCTGGGTGAAGTATGGCTGGGTGAAAGAAGCCACTATACAGTGCATTCATCGCTCCCACATCCAGCACAGCATTGCATCACATCCAGCACAGTGTTGCATTTAACATTATGCTGAGGAATGTATTGGCTCTCCCAAATTCAGGGTCCAAATCTCTCAATCGGCTTGGGTAGCAAAGGCGACGCAGCCCTAGCAGGAGCCCCTCCAGACCGGTCAACTTCAGGTGACACGGAGCCTTCATACGTTCTGGCATACGTAGCGCATTGTGCAGCTCTTTTACCTGCTTCTGCCTGAACCTGAAGTTCCTCAAGCACACATCGTCATCCAAATCGTCCAGGCAAAAACAAGGCTGCGAAATTTCTTGGAGCGGCGCAAACTTTCCACGAGCAGCGTCATGGTCAACCATCTGTAGGACTAGCAGAAGCTCCTCGTCGTCCAACTCAACCGCATCGTGTTCCAGCAGAAGCAAAGCCCAAATTGCGTGGGATCCACCGTCAAGGTCACCAACCACATCCACTTTCTTCTCAACAAAACTACTTGTAAGCAGAGGTCCGTGCAAGCTCCAAAGTCAAGGAGACCTCAAGAACCTTCGCCACATGTAGGTCCACGTGTAGGTGCACGTGGACCTACACGTACGGTATACATTAATACCCTTATGAAGAACTCTGGGCTCTTTTTTTGCGTAAAAGGATCTTTCGTGTTGCTAAACCTCACAAGTCTCTATTTTCTAAATAAATTTTCGGAAATTATGACGGCAAGAAAAAGTTCGAACTTTCGCTTTGCCAAACGTCCTTAATAGCGACGGTCCAGGGTCCACCATTTCGTTCAACGACTTGCCATCTGGAGTCGTCGCCGAGGCATTGAGCACCACTCGTAACTTCGTGGTTGGAGCGTTCTCGCGGAATACACCATGATGCGGTACATAGTACCCGGCATCGCTTCCGCATGGCTCCAGCTCAATTGCTCCTAGCTCACGGTACTCCCTGATCAGCACATCATCACAGAGCGTACGCTTCCCATTCCGCTTTAGCTTTTCCAGAAGCCCCGTTGCGATGACTCTAGCTTGAGCATAGTTATCCGTTGGGCGACGCTCATTTCGGCACTGGAGACCCATTTGGTACCCGCTGCCCTGGCAACATAGCGGGAAAGATGGCAAGTGCTAATGTTGTCCTGGAGGTTCATCCAACTGCCATAGTTTGTTGATGTGGGCTGCGACACATGAAACGGTCACCGGCTGACTGTTTCGACTGGGTGCAGACGCTGGACCAGATAATAAACTACCAATCTCTGTGTGCCTCACAGTATCGCCATTAACTTCTTCCTTGCTGTGCAGTATCGCGTTGATATAGTCTGCACCAATCAGCATGCGTATTTCGTCTGATGTCCCTTGCTGAGGCTTGTCACTCAGCTCTACTCCCCAGCTGTTTTTTTTTTTACTGGAGCCATGTAAACCCGTCATGTGTGAGCCATTGATAAGGGGAGTGGTGGCGTGGTCTAGGATGCTAGAGAGAGAGTGCGAGAGAGAGAGAGAGAGAGAGAGAGAGAGAGAGAGAGAGAGAGAGAGAGAGAGAGAGAAGAGAGAGAGAGAGAGAGAGAGAGAGAGAGAGAGAGAGAGGGAGAGAGGAGGGAGAGAGAGAGAGAAAGAGAGAGAAAGAGAAAGAGAAAGAGATAGAGAGAGAGAAGCACGCAAATATACAAATGTACTGGATGTGCACCCACGATTTTCCTCTTTTAACAACGAGAAGTGGACAAGATCTAAATGAGACAGATCAAGACTAGCGTCAGAATGTCTCAGTACTCCTTGTCAGTTTCGCATAACTTGGGCCCACAATTTCCCTGTTATAAAATTTGATTTCCTTGGCTCGCCATCGGAGTTCTTAATCCTTTTTCCATCCGTTTTTTAAAGTTTTCTCTTACATGTTTTTCTCCTTTCCTTTTTAGTTTGTTTTGCACCATGTCAATTGCTTAGCATTGTTGCTGCCATTGCTGTTCATGAGCTATTTCTAGACACGGAAGAGCATCTCCAGTCAGCGGTGGCAACAACCATACAGTGTCTGAAGACCTGGCATGTACTGAAAATCCGTTTCCATCACACCAACCGCTCTGCTCCTTGACCACCAGCCGTCGCACTGAACGATACACACCTCACAGTTGCACCAATACTGACTTGTTCTATCTTTCATTCGCCTTGTTCTTTAGAGCAACGTTGATTCTTGATGAGTGTTGTACGAAAACTAGTTCCAATAATCCCTTTCCTATCACTTTTTTAAAAGTGTTTTTGTATTTCAATAGTGCAATACTCTCTGATCGCCCTTTAAACTCAAGGACCGGCTTGAGCGCGCCCTGGGGTGTGCCACGCGTCTATTATGCACCCCCTCTTTGAACATAGTAATCACTCCGTGCTGCTGCACCGGCTCAAATGGCCCTCATTTAGCAGCTGCCATAATCTCTGCCAATTCATTTTTGAACACAGCCTGCACCATAGATGTGCACCATCACACATTCCTGCAATCCATCTACTCCATTCGCAACCTAAGAATTATCCGAATCTTTGAGGTACCCACAAAACGCACAAGAAGGTTAAGAAACTCCCCAGCTTCCCTATAATCAACCACAGATATTACTTAGTCCGCGTCAGCAATATTGTCGCTTATCTTTTGACAATTTGAACTTAGACTTTGGACATGAACACGTGCACGTGAAGTGATACACCTTGGTATGATGGACAGTAAGGTATAGAATGACAACTAGCTGCGAGGAATTTATTGTCCAAGGAAGGGTTCCTACTTTTCCGATCCTCCTCGTCGCTGCTCTCGGTGCTGGCGACAAATATTTTTGCTCGGGATCGACACTCTTGCTTTTGCAAGCTCATCTCTCTTCCTCTCCGCTGCCTGGCTATTTTCTAAAGAGAAGTCGATCGTGACGGTCGCCTTCTCTATAGGACTTCGCGTGGGCAGCACGACAGCCTGTGTGGTTCAAATCAGATGCCGTTCTTTGCAAGATTTTATTTTGAACGACGACGACGCGTACAGCATTTGCAAATCTCCACTACGCGCAGGATACTCCGAGCGTTGAGCTGGAGGTAAGGGAGCTGCGATCTCAGCTTGATGAGCGATCCCTGAGGTGAGCGATCTCGGCCGTTCAGCAAAATGGAGCTGATTCCGAGTAGCCGATTACTTTCTTGTGGCTTGCGCTGCTCTTGCCTGCACAGCGTACAAAGATAATCTATTTTGATGCGGCGCTGTATCAATCAGAATCACCCACCTGTCGCTCTCGAAATCCACTCGAACTCTAGCTAGACCTTTCAGGTACTAGCACACTAACTTGCTTACCAAAATTGGGATGAGTAAGCATTGGCGACATAATAAACAAAGCTGAAAGATAAGCGACAATATCGCTGACGGGGACCAAGCATGGCTTATCGTAACTATAGCCTCATTATACCACACCGCTGCACTCCATAAACTCTTAATTGGTATCGTTGCGTTTTAGAATGCAGTGGTTTTTTTTTACATATTTTTATTCGATTCCGTATCTGTGTTCCTTCTGCTTTCTGTGGCCACAGGTAATTGTGAAAATAGAAAATGAAAGATTCCAAAAACGATAACAACATCAGCAACATCAACGACAAGACATGGGTATAGGAGCGGAAATAAAAGACCATGTTGATGGAGGAGTTACTATGTATGTACCACATACAACTGCGCACGGTGAAACCCAACCCAAAGTGCAAACCTGGCGCCCTTTACCAGTTCTGATTGCGTCATAGTAATTTGAACATGTGCACGTCTTGGGTCCAGCGGATAAAGCTATGAAAACTTTTGTATAATGCTACCAATAATGCTCCAATAATTGCCTTATAATGCTGATAATGATGCTTATGAAAGGGATGTAATGTTCTTGGTTTGAGACAGCAAAGGAAGAATGGCTGTAAATTGTTAAACTTGAAGGAAGGAATCCACATAATCTATCTGCCTCTGAATCTGCCGCAATTTCTCCCACCGGGTCTACCACCTGTTATTACTATAAGACATTTTCGCTTCTCCAGTGGCTGCTCTCCATTGCAACTTGATGCAGGGCCATGGCAGAATAGTGGATGTATCAAATCTCTTCCCCTTATTATCCAGGTACTGAGAGGTGAAAACCATTATTACTGGTGATCATATGGATGCTGGAAGCTTATCTTGGCAAGTGGTATTCCTGCCTGCAGACAACCTGTCACTGATTCCACTGTGTGAAAAATGCCTTATCCCAAACAGGAGACATTAAGTCAGTTCGTGAGAGATGATCATCAATTGAGATCCCTCCAACTCGGGGAAAACACGTGGTAGGAAGTTATTGTACCATTCTACAGCCTTTGCTTGTGGTGGTTTCTTCTCCTCTTGGTCTTGTGTAGATAAATGCAGGACCAAGATACTCCTCTTTTTTTATAGCATTTGACTGCAGGCTTGGCATTACAACCGTCCACAACTAGCAGTACCTGCTTCACTAGAAAAGTCGGGCATGCAATGCTAAGAGCTCATATGGATTTGTAACTGAGTCCTGGAGTACGGGTAATTCTAGTTTTTCTTTGAGCCTCCTGGCCTTGGCTGGACATAGCAAAGACAGTTCTTTGGAATGCTCTCCGCTTTCTGTTCATAGCCGCTCCTTCATCCTGGTGGAAACGCCATCGCCAGAGTCTGAGGCACAATGAGAAAACTCCTCTTCGTCTGTCCCCTCCATGATCCATAGCTCTCCAATATTTCTAAACAAACATCTACTCCATGTAAATCATCGTTTCGAATTTGTGGAACATCTTTGGTTGTAGTGCCTCGGCTCATTTCAAGTCCAAACTCTATTACAATACATCTTCCACCATCCAAAAACCGTTTAAAAAACATCCTAGGGCCCCATGGGTGCTGCCTTTGGCTTATATTATGTGTCGTATTTCTTTGGCTCCGACTGTACGTACATGACTGTACATTTACCGGTACGTACCTGACTGCATTGCTACTTACAGCGAACAAAGTGCTAAAAGTGTTACTTGTCCACAAAGTCATGTACGGCTACAGGTACATGGTAGAATGTGCTCCAACCGTAGATCTACGCATTTCAGACACGAGGAGGGTTGGATCTCATGACTGCATATAGCAGATTGTTGAGAAAAAGAACAGGGATTTCAAAATAATTATCTACTATGCAATTTGTAATGCCGCTAAAACATCACACAATGCTCGTTTTGTTTGAATCTAATGCTCCATAATGCTCTGATGCTCGGATAGTCTCATAATGCCGAATATAATGCCGGCATTATCCGCTGGACCCTATGTACGTCCAGATGCATTCATGCCGCTTTCAGGGCGTCAAAGGCCGTACAAGTTGAGGGTGCCAATGTGCACTATTGGCTGGATTTCACGGAGCGCAACTGAAGTTGCCAGAACAAAACCATTCCGTTGAAGCTCTATTTGGAATATTATCATACCAATAACAATTGTAACATACCTTTGCAGGATATGCCGTCACCGTAAAACCCAGAGTTACACGTGCAGTTGTAGGACCTAACCGTGTTGGTACACGCAGCATTGGAGTCGCAATTATGAATCTGATGTAGACATTCATCTCGCTCTAGACCACCAGCCAGGTTAAAACACAAGGAGTACTTAAATGTAATGAGCCCCAGGCTGAGAAAAGGGTGCTATTGGTATTTTTGGTTAAATTCAGTTAGATAGCATACCTAAAACTCAAAATCTCACTGATTCATATGCGGAAAACCGTGTTGAAAAATCTCGAAGTATTTAATAGTAACGGCCACAGATGTGAAGGCAACTTTACAGAGCGAAGGTCTGTACCCTGCTTTCAAGTGCCCTTTTCTCAGTTGTGCGAGTGAGGCCAATAGCACCCTTTTCTTAGCCCGAGGCTCTAAAATGTACGAGGGACAAAACAAACTCACGTAATGGATACAGTTAACACTAATACACTGCCGGTAATGATTGACACTAATTCTAGGAAATCATGAAATCTGCTAAGCTGATGTTTGAGTGCTTCTCCGTTCCATTTTTGTATTTGTTGTTGACCGTCCAGTGCTCGGATCCAGCGGCTAATGCTCCGAAAATGGTTTGTATAGTTCTTGTCATAATGCTCCAAATGATAATTTTTCATCCAGCACTTGCACCAAGAGTGAATAGCAACTGAATAGAGCTGTTGCCAGTTGACAAACCCCTTTTTTAAGATCCAGTTGCGTGATGCCCACCACTTTCTGAGTGATTAATTATAATGCTGATTAAACGTAATCGACTAGCGTGCTCAATTGTCCGAAGAGTGCTCAATACCCATATAGGGGCAGATGCACACACAAGAGGGAGAGAGACAGAGAGGTAGTGATGGGGAAGCTGTGTTTTGTCATTTCCAAAATCGACCCGATTTTCTCGCGTAACCGGCTTCTTGATTGGCTAGGACAATGTCCAAATTCGGCCATACTATGAGCCGCAAAGTCAGAATTTGGCTAAAAGCGGTACTTGAACTCTTGAAGTCACCTCATACAGTATAGTGAGTGTAGATTAGGGAAAAGACAAGGAATATGTAAAAAGGCGACGTGGAGACAATAATCTTAAAAATGCAATGAATATAACTAAATGTGCACTCATATCACAACCATGGGGACGAATAATGTATTCCAGAACGTTTTCTTGTCACAATAATCAATGGAATTCGTGACTAAAGAGAATGATGAAACTACAATAGAATTTATACACTTGGAGTGGAACAGCGAGGATACAAGCATAGAATATTCTCTTGTTGACCCCTAATCTTTTTTGCCATAGTTAAATTGGCTCACTATCTGACCCGCGCTCTGCGAAAACCGACCTTAGGTGCTTCGTAATTTTTTCGAGAAAAAGAACAAAACGTCACGGTCTGTCGATTTTTGAAGATCACAAGGTGAGAGTCATGGCGGAACGAAGCAGAAGACGGTCGCTAGCTCAAATAATTGCTGTGGGCTTCTCCCAGAGGTTTCATCCTAACTCCTTCATGATGAATAGTCATTTTTTGGCCTGGTTCAATCGCAGTTCTGATGACAGCAGTGCCGAGGAGAGTCGGATGTGGAATCGCAGGACGCAACGCTGATCGAGCTGGACGGCCATGCGGAGGAGAATTTCGATCAGGCGTCAGTTTTGCCACCAGCCCAGCCCCTCAACGCCGGCAATAAGCAGAGTGCAGACCAAGAAAAATCGGTTCAAGTACTGTCTACAATCTAGGAGGCGCGCGACAAGTTTGACAAGGGCTGTAGTTGTTCCGCACTGGTGCTGTTTCAAGAGCGTGACACTTGAAACCTTGCTTTACAGTTACAGCGCTCACAGCAGCGCACGTCCTGACCAAGTCAGAGCGCTGCTTCTGTGTACATGTAGGCGGAAAGCTAGACGTGCTCAGGAGACGTGGTGAGGCTACCCAGCGCGTCCAGCATGCTGGGAGATGTGATAGATGGGGCTCAACAATACTACTCTGAACTACTGAAGACTACAGTCAGTGGCTGATGTGGAAGTCATGTACATGCATGTCAGGAAGTCTTTGTGTATGCCTCCAGCCCAGGATCAAGCCCTTGGTGCTGAAATCTGTGCAGGCTGCTGTCAGTGCAAGTGAAATCAGCCCAACACAGGAATTGAATGAACTCTGGAATGCACTGCCTGTGGAAGATGTTGTGGCCCGCAGCTGAAGCATTTTATAGAGCATTATGCTATAGGTCATGGCCTCCCTTAACCTGCAGATCCACATGGGCACAACAAGCCAGTACCAACCTACATGTATTTGCCCAGTATCATTACGAAGAAGCTTGTTCACCAGGCGTTCACAAAGCCTGGTGGCAAAGCTGCATACAGTACGTTTGGCAAGATTTGGAAAAGAGACTGCCATGATATCACCGATTATGAAACAATGTGTGCGGCAGATGTAGACATAACTAGATGTTCTACTACCAGTACCAGATAAAACTATCAATATCCGTTAACCCGCCATTGATCCGAGCTTCTTCACTACTTTGCACCTGCCTCTACCCATCACTCCGGCTGGCATATCCTCACACAGAGCCAAATACCTCTTCCAGCAGATCGTGAGCAACACCATCCACAGAACAGAGATAGAATGTGTCTATCTCCACAACAGGAAGATACAATGCCATCATAAACCTTTCCTTTTGAAGATTATGACATACAGATTTATTCTGCAAAGTTTGGTTGCAATCATGTTGCTTGAACTCTCACAGCATTGGCTCCAAAATGTAGCATAAAATCCAGGATTTTTGCTACTTTTCCTCAAAAAATTGTAGGAAAAGTGCAAAGAAATTGTCATTGTATCTAACTGAATATGTATGCAATCCACCTCAAACTTCACCAGAAGTTGAAGAAAGGGTCATGGGTCAACAATCCAGCACAAACTCAATTTCGCCAAAATAGCACCTAAGGTCGGTTTTCGCAGAGCGCTGGTCATCTGAGTTCAGAATTAGTCGTGTGCACAGATAGTCGGGTACCCATGCTACCCGTGAGGACCTCGGGTAGACTGGTACAGAATAACCGAATAGTACCCGGAAACTTGAAGTCGCAGATGACATCATGTACAGTGCACGTGTGCAAATTCATGTAGTACTCCGCACGTCTACCCAGTATGTAAGGGAAAGGGTGCATTGCGGTGTTACCATGGAAACATTACCCGGTCTGCTACTCGTACAAAACTACCCAAACCCGATACCCGAAGAAAATGACTTCCTTATAACCATGTATAATTCTAGTTGAGGCACAACAAAAACCATCTCTTTGTCTGTTTGATAATTACTTCATGAACGTCTCTTTGATCCTCTATGCACGGCTGTTCCGAGTGCGACATTTATCAATATGGCGGCGTACCATAGCAACCCGCATCGCAACAGCTTGCGTTCGCACAGCGGGCCGACGCTCGCAGTCTTTCTGCACATTTTTCAAATTTATCGAAGAAAGTTTTTGTTTTTGGGGCGATGGACTCGTGCCTTGGAAAGGTCATATGAGGCCATGCTGGAGGAGAATAAGTCTACCAAGACCTGGAAGCCTCCCTTTGGCGAAGTACTGAAGTTAGTATGTCCTGGAGTCAATACAGGAATTGTTTTCAAGACGATGCAATGTAATGTAGTGCATCATGGAATTAGTTGTGTTTGAAACTTCGGAACAAGAAGGGGGCACGTTTGCTTGACTCACTACCATCATGACGTGAACAGATGGAACCCCACTGCTCTTATTCTAGAACATGTTCTCCCCTGAGGACAGCTTACAGCCAGATTTCCGTGCACAAGAAAAGAGCACAAATAAATCGTTAGACTGATTGCAATTCATCTTGGAGAAGGAGAAGGCTAGAATTCGATCGTCTGCTACTCTCTCAACGCAAAGTTGATGACATAGCAGTTACATGTACGTCTCTTCATGCGTGTGCTCTTCACCTTGGGGATCAATGTGAGGATTTTAGGATTGCTGGAAATCAGATTCTGTATACTATTGGATAGCAGTTTCTGCATTGCACATTCTCCACAGTGCTCATAGGCAAGGATGTTGAATTTGCGTGTAACCCTTCACCACCCTGCTCTCCATACTATTCCAGATCAGCACTAACTGAACATTGAAGTGTTTCATTTCCAGTAGAATGTGCTCCTCCAATAAGTGCGGCATTGGAGGCGGTGATATTTATTGCCACAGTTGCACTGCTGATATTCGTCATGAAAGAAGCAATGGATGATGGTCAAGTCAACCAGTGGGCTTGCAGTGATAAGCAAAGTACCACAATACATCATCAAGTGTCATAGCATGGCGGAGTTGGTTGCTTGCAACACTTCCATGTTGGTGTTGTTAGTGTACAAATAGAGGATATCTTCCAGTCTCTAACTTTAAAAGCACATGGACCTGCTGTAGTGTTACTCTATCAATGCTTGTTTCATGTTACAGACTTATTTAGCTTCTTACAGCTTTGATTTAATTCACCGTATTGTAATTAATGCGAAGAAGAGGTTGATGCGACTTCGGCGATACTTGGGGAATTGTGTGTTGCTCCCTACGTGGGAGCTTGCGCTATTCCTGCCGACTTTAATTCTCACTTGACCGACTTGTTATTTTAAAATGAATTCATGGACATCTGTCAATTCAGCAGGTGAACTGCATTGCCATCAAGCCCTGAGCCAGCTCCATAGGAATGGCACGGTCATGAAGATGCGTGATGCTGTGTGTCTTAGTTGCATCAGAATAATAACCTGGTTGTTTCGGCTACACACTCCGGTAGCAACAGATACTTTGCATAATGCAGCTTGTACAGTGGTCCTCACTAAAGAAGAAAGCAGTTTAGGAGGGACTCTAGTGAGGAGTGTACGAGGATAGCCCATTAGTGTTCTACATAATCATTTGCATATTGAACATGTTACATGTAATTATCATGAACGCCGAGAGTGGTAATGTAATAGTTTTACCTTGACACTTCTTGCTTGTCTTATGGTAACACCTTGTGTTCCTACTATTCTCACTCCTGCGGTTCTCGCCTTTCTTTTGCTTTATAACCTCTGGTTTGAACATCATTCGTTGAATTCTCCAATCAATCAAGTCTATACTGTTACACTGGTAGCTTGA